CCTATTCAGAGTTTTTCAGTATCCCGGTACGTATGTGCATTCGTCGAAGGTAGTACAGGAGCCACAGCTAAATGAAACATCAATCATTGTGCAAATAATTTACCAAGAGTCATAACAGGGGTGGATTTAGGGAGTGGGGGAAATTTCTCGAGGCCATGAACCCGGACCCCCTAGGGTAGTGTCGGCCCCCTTTCGGACATCTCTGGATCCCACCCCTGCATTAAGTATTAGAACGCAAAGAAATATTTGTGTATCAACTCATAAGTGCGTGTATGTTTTAGATTCATCCATCTATGGCCGTTTGAAAACAAACACTTCCCGAACTAGCTCTTCATTTTTCGAGCCACCTTTATAAGCCTAACAGCGCTGTACTATAACAGCATCAATGAGAGTAAAGTGGAGGCAAAGACTTCGCTTCAGTCTCTAAGGATTACGCGTGCGTGCCCTCGCGTGAATGTTCATTTTCGATGTCAACCACCAAGTCTGTTGATGCATTTTATATCAAGTTAGCGACTTCAATTGTTGCACTTTCAGTTAATTTCGATTTCTTCAATGAATTGGAATATCAATGTTTTAATAGCCTATCACCTTTGGGCACGGATTACGCGTACGCTTGTCAAGTAAAACATCAACGCATTTCGGAAATTAATAAAATCCCAATAGCAACTCAAGGACGTATGATTTTAATAGTGTTCTTTTTAAAAAATACATTAACTTTCCTAAAGCTTTGTCTACACTATCAAATTTAATAAAAATCATAAAATGTGATATCACAATATCATCAAAATATATCAAACTGCCTCAAAAAAGGTGATGTCTTGATTGGTTGCTGTGATTTGTATGTGTTCGCTTATTGGTCATGATTTTAAAGACTATCAAAAGACTATTTCATCAAAAAAACGTCACATAAAATGTGATGGAACAATATCATCAAAATGCCTCAAATGTGATTTTTTTTATGAAACTGAATTATAAAATTCTATTGGTTGTTGTGATTTGTTTTGTTTGCTTATTGGTCAAAATGTGTTTTTCAAAATAATTGACAACTATTTGACGGACAACATCAAAACGTTGAACATGTTCAATTTTTTTTTTATACAATTTGAAATTATGTGATAGGCCCTATGACGTCATCGTGCCCATATGGGCATATCACATTTTTGTCACATAAAACATGATAGTGTAGCAGAGCTTAAAACAATTGACAACATTTTGACAGACGACATCAAAAAAAGTTGAATATGTTAAACTTTTCTTTATACCGTTTGAAATTATGTGACATGACGTCATCGTGCCATATATGGACACATCCATATATGGGCACATCACATTTTTGTCACATAAAATTTGATAGTGTAGACGAGCTTAATCAAGCTTAACGGGTGTGTTACTCGCGAGTAAGATGTAATGTGATGTTCTATTGAGTCAACTCTGGTTGGGATGTCAGAAAATAACTCTAAACCACCGTCCAGATTATCAAATTTTCTTTGACAAAAACTTGTTGTATGCCCTTATATAGTCATGGTGTGGTCATGATGTGACGTCATCATGACCATATTTAGGCAATTCACGTGTTTTTGTCAAATTAAATTTGATGGCTTGGACGGGGCTTAACACAACGTTGCACCATTGTCTGCAAAGATATTTAGTCCGAAATTACGTGATAAGTCTTTATGGTTCTAAAAAACCCTTTTGAATACCAAACTGTACCGTTATTATAACATTCTGGGATGGAACTTAGGGATAGGGGTTATGATGAGAAACAAAACCAGTCAGGGCAGATCACGTACTTGTTTTGCTGGGGTGTACGAAGTGCCAACCAAGGACCTATAATTGCCCAAGAGAGGGCGCGCCCGGGGGCGGTGTTGGTGTTGGGGTCCAGGTGCAAAATTGTTGTCATTTTAATATCTTACTAAATGATTTCATGTTAGATATGAGATTTTCGCCCTTTCACCACGCCCAGGATGACGCCATTTGGTGGGGGCAGGGCCCCTCGTCGGGGAAAAAAGAACTCCATGTCAGTCAAAAAATGTATTTTTACATAGGTCGTATTAGCATGCAGAGAATCCGATTGAATAATACTTCGAAATTCCTAAATTGTTGTAGTTTCCAGGGTTTCGTCCACTAGCCTACCCTTGAGAGAGATTTTGAGCGACGCTCGACCAGGCCCACTTACGCTCTCACCGGAGATATCTCCCCACCATTTCGGGGACATCAGATCTCCGTGGCATGGCGCCACATGGCCACACTCTTGATTCACCTTTGACATGATTTTATTTTGGATCAATTTGATTAAGACTTTGTTGGACTACAGCTTCATTCTTTGATTTCACTTCCTCCGAACTTGCTTTTCAAAGACAATCTGTCGGTGATAATTTTTTCCAAGCTCTAGACTTAATTTATTTGACCCTACAACAAATTTATAACATGGCATCACAAAGAAAATTACAAAGTACAGTAAATGGCCAAATAAACACGTTTCTGCCATAGTGCTTACCGAAAAATATTGTACGATTTTATTTAAATTCAAGTATATAATGCTCATGTTTTAGGTATAGAAAGTCTAGACTATATATTGGAAATAAAATTAGGGGCGAAATTAACAAGTATTATAGCGGTTTTATATAGGCGATGATCATACAACTGGTGGATCTATAAAATAACTTAAGTACAAATATCAGTTAACAGACTTGTGTCAAACTTTGATGTAAATTGTAAATGATTTTCATGGGTTAGGAAAAGCCATTACATTAACATGTGATCCCGAACGTATAGCACGAGCTGATAAGTTATAGTGCTTATGGGCATGTTTAAGTCATTCGCAATTCACAGTGTCGGAAGCACATTTTCTGAGTGTTTAAATAGCCAGAAAAAAATCATAACTCTGTTAATGTAATTATAGTATTTTAAAATCAACGGTCCGGGCTCGCGTAACTAGTTTCGTTAATGGCCAAGCAGCTAGCTCAGAGCGCGTTTTTTTTTTGTTTTTTGTTTTTTGTTTTTTTTTTGTACTGCCTATTTTGAGCTTTGATACAATTTTGAATAAAGGATTTTCGAGGCTAAGAAGTTTGAAAATCACACAAACTGAATTGTATCGGTTTGTGTCTCATTCGAAATTAACAATTACTTATTTGATCATTTTAAATGTGCATTCGAAATGTTCCTCCTAAGGAATTATACTGAAAACGGAATTCGTCTTCTTATAAATCAGTATGCCACGTTTTTTCACCTCAAACTTAAATCATAGAAGAAAAAAATATTCAGAAAGAACACATTTTATTGGTCGAAAGATTTATGACGGTATGTAATTATATTGGAGCGAAGAAGCATCAAGTTGAAAGATAGTAGGAATCGAAGAATATCATCTTCACATACTTAGGGCCTGTAATTTTCTCCTCTTTCTTTTCCTCTTTTGTCTTCTTACATTTTAATGTTTGAGCTCTGTCCCCTTGTCATTTATGTTAAGAACGTTATCATAGGGAGTTTTCTAAATGTTTTCCTATATGTTTATTGAATAAAAGTGATTTTTAATAATATTTGTGAATAATGCTGCGCGAAATTTTATTTGGGCGAAATTTTATTTTTCACATAATCGTCATTTCAGGCCTACGAATAGGCCTAAGCTATTCGGTCGGGGCCTACTAAAGGCGATTCAAATGTATCAATCCTGGCTACCTCTTTGTGTGCATTATGTACCGTACCGTTGTGTGAAGCTGCGCCTGCGAACCATTCTCCTTACCTTCTTCATAGTAGTTATCCATGAGTACTAGATAGGTGATCTCGGAATCAATTACTGTACTAATCTTCGACGATTATTGAATTTCAAAAATCGTATTTCTAGTTGATCTAATCAATATAGACGAGTACGCCAAAAACTATCTGATGTAGGCTTAATGGCATTGACGTCCTATTAATGGTTCGAAAAGATATTTGCATATAATGCGAACAAATGTTCCAAGAACATTTAACAATAATTAAGAGTCACGGGTGCGACTATTAAACAGACGGAAATTGTTATTAGTTGTTTCCCTGTTTTTGAATTTCTCAAATTGGCAACTCTTCTTATTTACCTAAATAGATTTTGAAGCGGCCGGCCGGCGACGCCCCTGGATCCCGGTTTTGAAATATTGGGCCCATTTCTGATATTCTTATTCTCAGGTCTGTTTATCAATCGATTTTGTTGAGCGAAACCTTTTTTTTTTTATATTTCGCATTCTGCCAATGTTTTTAAAATTACAGTATATACCGTAGGTATTGCATGTTGTCTACCTGTTTCCATCTACTATTAAAGCAGTGCCTGTTTTGCACTTCCGAATGTGTATTCGTGCGAGTCGAAAGCGTCTGTTTATGCGCATGCGCATTCACATTTCTATCGTGTTTTCGATTCAGCGAAATCGGTAGATCGAACCAGGGAATAGTGTGGTCGAACAGTTTCTACTTTTTGCGAAGCGAAAGAAGAGCGCAACCAATCAGAGCTCAGGAAACCAACCGACGCCTTCAATTCACGCGAATAAATTTGCTTAGCGGAAAACAGGCTTTAAACTGGTTTTTCACTAGCGTCCGCTTATGCGCATGCACATTTGCGTATCAGAGTTTTTGCGAAGCGGAAAAATGCGCAACCAATCAGAGGCTAGCTCAGGAAGCGAACCGACGCTGTCCAGTCGCCGAAATTTATTTGTGCAAATCGGAAGCGTCAGTGCATGTGCATTCACATTTCTATTGGAGTTTAGTTCGGTAGTTTGAACTGAAAATGCGCAACCAATCACAGCTCATCAGGAAGCGAACCGACGCTTTGATTCGCGCAAATAAATTCGCCTAGTGGATAACCAGCTTTAAGCGAAAAAATGTGATAGAAATGTAAACGCGCATGCACTGATGCTTCGATTCAGGCGAATAAATTCGCCTAGTAGATTAAATCGATCCAGCAGTTTCCTCTTTTGTAGTACAAGTTTCACATCTCATAACTAACCACTTAAATGAATGTACATGACAATATCAAGTGTAGTGTTCTATTTTTATTTATTCATAAAGATACCTTGTCAATGTTAGAAAACAAAATTCAATGAGAAACACAACTTCTTCTTTGGCATTCCTATCCTAAGTAAGGCACATATCGAAAAAGTTGATTCAATAAAGACGATTTGAGAAAACACTTAAAAAATACTGTTAAGTTTTCAAATAGAAAAAAGAATTATCACCACATATTGTTCTGACCGTACGGATGCATGCATCATCAACTAACACTACCAACCATGCGTGATTTCAAGAAACCAGATGCTAGTGAGTGAAAATCGACAGAGCACAAGCCTAAAATAATATTTTGTTAACAAAGATGAAAGTATTTTTCACCCTAATTATCAAATACAAAATTCATAATGGTCAACAAATTACCAAATTGGCAGAAAAGTTGTTAGTAACGACATTGATTAAAATCCATTTACATAATTACTGAGTATTTAATGTTTTGCTTCAGTATTAGATTGTTTTAATCCATAAGTACAGTGGTCACACACAAATGAAAACGATCAACAATGTGAACAGGGCTGTCATGTACACCTCAACACATTTTGCAGTTGGATATTTTCATCTGTGTGTGAACAGTACTCAAATCAAAATGTATAAAACACAAGAGAATAACCATAATGTGAATGCACAATAAACATAGTAAAACATACCAAAATGGCCACTACTGTGATCAGCATTTGACTACAATCATCTCCATATGAACACATGTTAACTGATTCCCACAGTCCCATGCAAGATGAAAATTTAACATGCTTAATATTGTATACAGTTTTTTCCCATTTTTTATACAAAGTTTTATTTAACATGCACATTCATTTATAGGAAGCACAGTTCATTTGTAAACAAACATAATAACATTATTGTTAATAATACTAAATAACATTAATTAATTACTGTAATATTATTAAACATAACAATTATATATGAATTCTTACAAAAATCTTATTTTATTTCGAGAATTTTGAAGACATACACTGTAAAAATGTGAAGAGTTGACTGAGTGAGTGATAAAAGGATACAACCAACCCACCCTTAATATAATAAAATAACAATTTCTTAACATTTAATAAAATGCTCTAAATATTAGGATTATTCTATAAGTTAACTGCATAGACATTTGTTTTTATATCACTTGTTGCCATGACCTTTGTTTCTAGGGGCAACTGTTTTTATGGGCCACAGTCCAACAATTTATAGTACTGCTGTTTTTAAAACCATTGAAGCATACGCTGTCTTCATTAGTATAAGACTGTAAACATTAATACGGTACTCATTTCAAGTGAAAGGTCCAGACACAAATAATAATCATGTTTGTAATCTCATTTGCATAATTAAATGTTTCATCAGTTGCACATTAATACACGTTATTGAGTGACATAATTTGGTTAACCAGTAACTCTTAGCCTAGATACAGCAAAGAATAGATGGGATACAGGAATAGTGTAGATACCAACATGTTAATGGGTCTGCCTTGATTTAAAAAAACAAGGAAACATAGGAGATTCAATAGAGAAAGCTTAACACATTGTGTAGAAAAGGGGCTTGGCTTAATGGAAGAGGTATTAACATGGTTAACCTAGATGGGGAAGGGAAATAGATGAGGTTAGCCTAGATGCAGAACAGAGGTAATAAATGGTTAAGAGAAGATGAGGGAAAGGATTTGCATTTCTATTCAATGAGTTTTCAATTGTATATTGCACAAAATTAAAAGAAAACATGAATATGGTTGGTAAAAGTGTTCAACACTTAACAGTCACTCCAAGCGGAATGACCATTGTAAGAATTCTAGAATATAATTTGTATTTACACCCTGCTATTTTACATTGATCACCATGGCAACATATAGGCTCTTTAATATTTTAATCTTATGATCTTGATCACCTAATAGTCAATTTTTAATCTAAGATAATTTTCACTGATAGAAACAATGATTAAATGTAATCTATGATCATGGAAAATATAAAGTGACAAAGTATTTTTATATTCATCAATTGATACAATTTTAACAAGATAACATCATTTGTAAAATTTCTAATTGCATTGATTTAATCTTTGCCAATATCTGGCTTGACATAAAAACATAATCAAAATCGTAAAACAAGAAAATAAACAAAATGATAGAATACATTACTGGTTTAATCCAGTATTTTTGGTGAGAGATGATTGCTTATATTTAAAATAATATAAATTAGAATTAAAACATTCTCTTGTTTTCTTAAAATCGCTACACTGCAAAATTGCAGTAGCGAAACCAGACTTAAACAGAATTTGTTGTTGCATTTAAATATAAACTAAGAATTTAAATGTTCTATTTGTTGCTGATATTAATAACAGCAGCAATGAGTAATGAGGATACAAGAATTAATTTTTTAGATCATTTCAATTTGTAATTGAGATCTCGGGAAGTGATAAATGTAGTCGTCTACTTATGAAGCCCACTACTGATTCATACCACTAACCAGATACTTTGACGCAATTTCTGTTATAGCACCATTTCAAAACAATAACCAAACAATCAGTAACAATCCATTCAATGACTCACTGAAAATGATACATGTTGCTAAGAATTTAAACTTACAAAGCTCAATTAATATCCTATATGGAAGCCAATAATATAAATCAAGGGATGAAATTCTAACATTTCAGATTTCACTTAGACAAAAGCCTAATGACATTTGTTTGCGGTCCAGAAAAAGAAAGTTCATTTTCATTAAATTACGAAGTTATGCTCGAAAAAGAATTGCTTTCTATGGACAAAGGAAATGCATCGTACATCTTAAGCACTTACTTAAGAAGCTGTTTCCTCAAGATCTTATTTTAATGTGCATTCCTATTTTTAAATCCACAGATCTGCAGAACCTCTCACTAACACATCATCTATGAGATCTCACATTCTAATCCTTATCCTGCGATATCCCAATCTTTCTGTTGCAGATTTTTTTATATGGATAATGGTGAAATAAATCTTTAGAAATAGATTTGTTTGCAATAAGTAATTTCTGATGATGAAAGTTTTTGCTTTTGTTAATACTTGGGTAATGTCTGTAGAAAATACAGATTGTAGGCATGTTGATATGGTAACTTTACTGACATGGTAACCATATTGACATGGTGACCATTGGCATGGTGACCATATTGACATGGTAACCATATGAGAAAATAACATTCTTCATCTAAAATCATCTAAAATTAATTATGATTATAACTTCAACTTGTAAATAAGACTACATGTAACTAAATTAATGAGTTAGCACTTAGCATTTTGTACACAACACAAAACTGTCACCATCAATAGAACACAAATTCTAAATTCGTAACAAAATATTACTTCATTAATAGACAACAAGTTTTAAAAGAATTTACAATTCATATAAAAATGTTATGCATACACAGAAAATTTTTACATTCAGAAATATACAAAATTTTATACAAATCAATATACATGTTTATTTACAGTAGAGATCTGGTTCACAAGCAAACCCAGTCTTCGTTCACACGACACTCATGTCGATATTGTCTATTGCAGTGTTGACAAAAGGGGTTGTTTGTTTTTTTCTTTTTCTTCATTGCGTTTACAAGATTTCTTGATTTACTTCTGTGCTCCCATATTCTTGTTTCCGGTTGGCATGTCTCAGCGTTCAACTGTACCTCTAAAACCTTTGCGTCTGGTTTATCGCAAGATGTAACCAGCTCATAGGAAGGGGGCTGATCGGGCATCTCTTCGCACTCGTCGATCTTAGTTAACGTTGTGGTGCTTGCTGTGCGGTAGTTTTTACTTAATACTACTTCGAGGTAACATGGTGGGAGATCACTATGAGCGATGGCTGCTGCCTCGTCAAACGATGACATCCTTCCAATTGGTTCTACGAAGCCAAAAATAACATTGTTCAAAATATGACATGGACATGGGACACAAATGCTAATAATTATAATGAAAAAGCACTCAAGATGCCCGATGAATTTATCTTATAAGTGAAGATTGGTGTGCTTACAAGTCCGTAACTATGAATATCCTGTTTTCATAACATGCCAATATATTTCTACAAGGAGGTAAACATACACATGTTTTTCATCCAGCTAGTTCATACCACACATAATTAGAATGAAGTCTTGCATGATGGGATGGAAAAGTTGATTATTACTATCGCAACGATTTACGCAAAGTAGAGGTAATAATAAGGTCGTCGCCATTCTTCATACTAATGATCTAACACAGATTACGAAGAGTTTAACACACTTCCCCATAAGGTTAAATTACTCCCTAGCCAGTACGCATTGTCAGCTTCTAAATGCTTGTATGTTCAGATTGGTTTGATAATTAAAGGCATATTGGATACCCTCAATAATCCTGATGGTTGATAACATGTTCAAACACAAAGCTTACCAATAAGTCATTAGAAATTCTGATTTTTGAAAACATAATAATTCTAAGTCAGTACATTTTACAATTGAGTGTTAGTAACAGAAATATTTATATATTATGACATAAAATTTTGAAGTAAATGTTAATGTGTCGGAGTCAATAATATTCTAACAAGGAGTTTGCAAAGACACAATCTTTTAAAACATGATATGTATATTAAGGTACAAAATTTGTTGATACTTACCGACACTTATCAAATGTGGGATCCCGTTAATGTCCCTGCCTGGCTGCGGTCCACGGATGTACGCAACACACGCCATGCACGATAACAGTAGCAGGAAGAAGATACAGACGGCACCGCCAATAATAGCAGCAATGTTCGAGTAGCTAGGGTATTGGCCTATTAAAAAGAAACAAAAGTCAAAATGAAAGCCTTCACTGCAAGTAACTTTGGAAAAACCTAGGATTATTAATCAAATTCTTATAATTCACGACTGACTGAATAGTGCATTCTCATGCTGCATGCACTGTGCAGTCCAAGCTAATTTCAAAATTGCACGCTGTATTTTTTACGCATTTTCCAAGACCCATGTGCAAGGAAATACACAACTCAATGAGTCAACTGCAAAGGGGAAAACTTATCAGACATGCTGATAAATTCAGTAGTCGCTGAAGTTGCTAAGAAAATCCCCAGCATCTTAAAGTTATGCTGTCTGTGTTTAGAGAATAAATTTATACTTTCCATGCCAATTAACATAATGCAGTCTTGCTTAGACTTTATTGAGGTGTCCCTTGTAAATAAGCAATTCCACAATTACTGGGGCAGATGCAGGGGGAGGGGGTGCAGAAGGTGTGATTGCATCCCCCTACATTGTAAAAATAGTGGTTGTATTGTATTGTTTATATGAATTTTTTTTAAAGGTATGAGAGTGCAATTTCTGGGCACCTTGAGGTCCATATTCTCAAAATGTTCTCGCCACAGCCCCAAATATGGTTGGGCTGAAGTGGTATGGACTCTCACGCACACCCTACCACCAAATCCTGCATCCACCCCAGAATTGCCACATACCCAAGATGGTATACCTTTAAAGAAAATGATAGCTGAGAAGGAAATCGCACGAGAAATTTCTTGCCATTTTTACTGGCCTGGGATTCCATGATTCGTTAAGAAAGGAAATCACCATAGCTTGCAGGTCCGAAAACCCTAAGTGTTTAATTGGGAGCAACTTCCCAATTGCCCAATAAATTTGTCGGAGATAATTTTTCCTGACTATGCTTGACCGACTACGTTTAAACCTGAGCCCCCTAGGGTTACTCTCTGGTCATTACACTTCTACTTGGGCCAAGACTATGGTTACAATTAAGGCAGGTATATTCAAAACATGAAAATTGCGTGACTCAATTGAAAGGCAAGTATAGTTCTAAAGTCCTGTGACATGTCTAAATATGGTCATGATGACATCACATCATGACCATATATAGGTAAATCAGGACTATATATGGCCATACAGTTCTTTTGTCAAATAAAATTTGATAGTCTGGACAGAGATTTAGAGTAATGATGTGATAGTTCAATGCAATTTAAAAAAAAAAAAAATCAACAGGTCAATACCAATGAAAAGATATATGCAGGCCAAAGGAATAAGTTGTTAAACAGCCAGAATATATTAAAACAATGCAAGTTTGCTAGCAAACAGGAAATTCCTTAATAAAATCTATGAAAAATATTAAGTTATGAAATGGAATCAATCGATAAGAATTAACATTTACAACATCACTGACAAAAAAGTGTGATTGAATTCATGTGCGCACATGTTTACATACAAGCATATAACAGTAAAATTAAACAATATAATAAAGTAGGGCCTACATCAATTGAACAGAGAAGGCAATGTTAAAACCATCAAAAAAGCAAAAACAATCGTCCTCAGAAATACAAAATTTATGATGTAAAGCCATGTGACATTTTTGTAACTGACATAAAATGTAACACGACATAAAAAATTCTTTAATTTAGACACATCAATTGGTAAGCATAACATGATGTATATCCATCATCATCCTACAGTATATTTTAAGTTTTCTAAATGTAGGTTTGAAATATGGAATCCGATTGGCTTGTGTCACAATCTTGTGAATTTCTTTTAGGACAATGTATGACACGTAAAAAGAAAATCATGTGAAAATGACAAAAACACTTCTCACCATGTGACAATTTCATATTAATAACTTACATATTATAAAAAGTGGTTGTGTCATTTGTAAAATAGACTGGAATTTGAAACCCAGTGGTCGTGATCAACTGTTACAGTAACAATGACTACATATTAAAGGTCATTTATGATTTTGGGGAAGGTGGAGAGACGGTCTCAAACAATGTTGTAGCGGCTATAAGTTAGATGTTGCCAAGCACTGAAATGCGAACTAGTTTCATGGCATAGTTGATGATGGTGAAGTTTCTGTGTGACAGATTGTTCATCGTTTTCAAAACATTAGTAATTTGTTGATCTATTTTCAGCATGTAACTAAACACGTTAACATTACAAGTATGGTTTTGTAAATGCATGTTCAATGAATACCAATTTATATAATTGTGTTCAAATGCTGGCTGAACTAGGCAAGTTCAACTTAGTACGTACTCCATTATTGGTGCTAATACTACTACCGTACTATAGTACTATTGTTCTCGTTGTTTTAAAGGGTCACATGACCATTATTGTTTTAAATGTCACATGATTAAAATTTAATAAATAAATCCATGTTTGCTAAATCTATATTTGTTATATATATGTTAATTTTGATTGTTTAGATTTAGCGCATCTCATGATATTAAATATGCACAAATCATCAAGTATAATTTGAATCAAGAAAGAATATGTGTATGTTCTCTTGTCCACAGACTCGCAAAGCATCATATTTCTTACCCATATTTACTTTCACATTCAGTAGTAAGTAGGCATACAGTAAATGCACACTGTTTTAATGTCTCGCTCAGGTTTCAGCTGAAATTAAGTCTTACTGAGATAACGACTGTACATGCTCGCCAATTACAATACTCAACGACGATTCAAGCCCACACAATTAATATTGTCCTTACATTCTTTGCATACACACTTAAATTACACTGAGGAGTTTCAGTATTAGCCTATTTTGATCAATTTAAATACATAATTTAATATTTTTGAATGAATTATTTGGGGTTTTCCTGATTTAAACTCAGACATTGCATTTTTGTTAGTTACACCAATATTACACGCATAATCGCACAATATTACAACCATAATCGCACATCTACAAAAACAATGTCAAAAGATTTTTTAACTGTCTGAATAGTTGATAATTACTATCCACATCATCAACTTTTCCTTTTATCTTTAAAAGTCCCTTATGCGTTGCAACTACAGTTTGAAACACAATGGTTCAAAGGTAACATTTTTTGCATCACATTAAGATGCAAAAAACAAATTTTCATATTCGATAGCCGAATAAATTTAACCAAATGACTGGGACAAGGAAGATTACAGGACGACATGATAATAAAATCAATTTTATGAGATGTTTCTATTTTTTTTTTTTATAACTAACATAGTTATGAAAAATGAAACATCTCAAAAAAAAAAACCTCCAGTGTTGTACACATACATATATTACGCTAAAGGTTAGAGCCTAGAAATGCCATAGATTACAAAGTAAATATTCTTCACCCCTCCCTGTTTTTCTGGATCCACTCCTGGGGGGGGGGGGGAAAGGGGTATTTAGTAATCTATTAATAGTTAGGCAACAATATCATTAAGCACAGGAAACACATATATATTAATAGATTAGTAGCTTTTCCTTCTTCAGGGCTGCCAAGTGTATTTTTCAGTTGCAGAGCCAAACTCAATAAATAACCACAAATTATTACTTTATAAGAACTGAAATGTCTTATGATTCTGCAATTATTTTGCCCAGGTAAGTTCCTTTTCCGTACATTCAATTGACAGCCCTAATTGTGTTAATAGATACAGTTCACCAACAATGAATAGTATGTCTAAAAAGGCAGTACAAAAAATAATGTAAAAACTGTTATTGCCCTATTGCCTACGGCAATTATTCATTAAATTTGTAGTATATACAAATCCTTGTAATACATAATTTATATTTTACAATGTTATTCTCCAAAAGCAAGATTTCATTATGTCTTTACTTTATTTTAAATTGACAACTTATTCAGCAACTTTACAGGGAATGCTTTTATAGACCAGTTGATCTTAAATGGCTTAAGTTTTTATTTGTGAGATATTCAGGGATTTTTCACAAGCTTACGAAAACGATAACGAATAGGGTTACGTCACCAAATGTTTAGACAAGCCTTCCACACATTGGCATAGTTGTCATAACGTAGGCAATTCATACGTTTTGCATAAATAAAGGATCATATTCAGCTCCTACAACATGTTGTCAAGAATGTTGAATGACGATATTAATAATGACGTATCGTATTCGTTATCGTAAGGGTGCGAACTTTCGCTAATATCCCAAAGATTTGACAGGTAAATGCTTTGATCAAAGTTGCAGGTCCAGTCAATATATCATTTTTATTTATTACTATTATATTGTTATTATAATTTTATTGACATAGAAATAATAATAATAATAATTACCATTATCATAAACTGATTAAAGCACAAGCAATTTTCAACTAATTTCTAATCTATTACTATTCCAAAAAATGCACAAAATAATTTGGTAACATGCAAAAAAACACAAGACAAGCCAAAAAGAGCACAGTAGTGCCTTATCTTCTCATTCTCTCACCTGGATATTGGCATCTAGAGCCATAGAATCCAAAAGCACATGCGCATCGGCCCAGTTCTGTACAGGAGCCCCCGTGTAGGCACTCGTCTGGGCACAGATATTCCGGTGTGGGACTAACCACTTGAACTGAGCATGGAAATGAAGGGGAATAAAGGAATGGAATGGAAAAAAAATGAGAACAAGCAAGGGAAATGAAAATAAATATGGATTTCCACAATGTGGATTTTCCAAGGGACGAAAATAAAATATGTTTACTAACATATTTATGACAATCACCTCCGATATGTACAGTGTATGGGATTGTGAAATTAGTTTTGTTCGTGATTAACATGCATCCTACCATAACAGCCAAACTTCTTTATCACCTTAATCAACCATAACTAAATCCTTCAATGGCATTTATTTACATATAACTGATTCCCAACAGAAAATGATATAGTAGGAATGGTTGCTGGATGTCACAAAAGTAGATCAAATCATAATGAAAGATGATATTAATTTCTAATTTAACTCCTTTAAAACCGTAGTATGCTGTTAATGAGGCATAGCAGTTAGGAGGCATTAACAATGTTTGCACTATGATATTTCTGATAAAACCAATGTAATTTTTAGTTATTGTAGGCTATGTAGTAAAATAGTTGATCATCCTTGTTTCTCCATAATTTTGAGTAGGGAGGTCTATTTTCAAAGATTCTCAGGCACGAAATAACAGGTACACTTCTAAATTGTGTGTTAGTTTTTTCATTCAGTACAAAATCAATTCAGAGTGTCTAATCTATCCAAATGGTTTAGACGCCTCTTTCTTGAGCATGAAGGAGTTGTACGCAATGGGGGTTCCTTTATTGTAGGTCAGAGCCACAACATCTATTATATTCATTATTGGAGCGAACAATCAACAGTTCTATTTCACATGAGTTTTTTTGACAATATATTTTTATCAATTTGATTTTTGGGGAAAAAACCTACCACTTCTTGTTTTGGTCAGGCACAAAAGTTCATCCTCATCCTCCCCGTCGTGACAATGGTTTATCCCATCACACGTCAGTTCATTCGATATGCACACAGAATCGGCGCCAAACTGACATGGCAGATACATCTCACCGCATGCTCCATCACCATCTTAAAGAAAGAGATCATTTCTAATTAACCATCTGATTTCTCAATGAAACATCAGTTGTTTACATTTATCATTACCAGGCGTGCAGTTGAGTTACTCGGTGAGAAACTAACACAGACCAAGGACACCTCTCGTTCCCAATGATTTCATTGGCTGTTCATCAACTAATCAATGTTAACTAGATGTTAGTGTCAATAATATAAACAGATTAAATTAACATGATATAAATGTCATCAAAATAAAGGATTATTTCATTGCATTATATCAATTAATTGCATGAATCGTTAATGAATTGAAATAGTGATTATACAAATGTCTTCTTTCTCATAAACCACTCTCCAATGAACACTTTTGAGGCAATCTTACAATACAAAAAGAAAATACAAAAATAATATACACAATTTAACGAACAGGTAGGCATAAATAAAATATAAATAACATAATTCATTTATGTTTTAAATTAGTAATATATTACATCATGACTTGCTACATTTTAGCTTCACCATTCAAAATACACTTACATGACGCATTTCATTATTTAATTCTTAAAATACCTGGAAATCTGAGGTTAATCTTTATATTTAACAGACAAATACAACTCCCAAACAGATTTTTATACTCATAAAATGCATGCTCTGGTAATGTGGATTTATATCTCAATAAGTCAATTGAGTTGTCCGATAAACGTTTCTGAATCTCAATGGAATTTTCCATCATATATCATGTCATATATTTGTAAAGCTTATCTGTTATATGTGAAGTATTACACCCTTTTATCTATTTGTATGCGGAAGCTGATATATAGTCCTTTTATGAATGTAATAAACACAACATGGGGCATTCTTTTCTTCTGAAAATCATGAAGTAAAATATTATTTACATAAAATATTATCTTTATATCTCTGTTCCATTTCCTATGAAGGAAATAGCAGCTTGTTAATAGCCTAATAACATTCTTTTACACAAAGGTGTAAAAACAAATTTAAATAACAAAACTTTACTGAAAGCATACGCTATGCATGAGAAGTCACTGACAATGATTGAAAAAAAAAAATAGACTTGGAAAACCCAAATATACATTACAGACTTTTTCCACTGACCTTTAATTTAAACTCGAAGTACAAATCTGTAAAAAATATTGGGAGCGAAACAGGAAACTGAGACTAAAATGTATTATTAATTGTACCGTTAACCTGGCAACTACCACTAGGGGATATCCAAAGCCTAGGCATTTCACTCTACGTAATTACCAGTGTTTGTCTGTGCTCTGTGAACCCCAGGATCGAAAAGTCAACATCATACCTAAACTGTAGTTTTTTTAATTGAAGTAAGTCTGATTAAACTAACAGTATAGTCTATTGGAAATCAGACAATTGTCTCTGATCAAACTTTTGAGTCTAATAGTGTATCGGTCCAGACTATCAACATTTTATTTGCCATAAACATGACATGCCTAAATATGGTCATGATGACATCACATCATGACCATATATAGGCATGAGCATCCCGAATATGGGCATACAACAGTTTTTTGTCAATGAAACTCTGATAGTGGGGACAGGGCTTTAGAGAATACCAATAACAAAAATCTGATGTTAACATTTACCTTGCTCCTTCTTGATGAAAGCATAAGCGACCTGAATACTGTCTCCTTGCCTTGCTTCTCCTACCCATCGGACATAGATAAAATTGCCATCGGATAACAGAGAACGACGGTTTCCTTGGTCGATGTTCGCTTGAGACCGTATACTGCCCATTTGGATTTGTACCTTGGAATCATCCGCATCCCACACCTCAAGAGTACTTGCTTTTAATTCAATATCTGTTTCAAATTTAGAGATAATTCACATAAAGTGTATATATATACACGCATATACATGGTGGCCATTATATATATTCTTCTTTATTTGGAAAGGACACTTTTACAACAGTGGCACACATACATAATGATGTGTTCAAGACAAAAAGAATAACAAGTACAAAATCAACGTCTTAATCACCCCTCCCTTCCCTTCTCCAAGAATGTAACCAGTCAACAATAGATCATAATATAAATGCTTCCAATGGAACTAAGTATCTTGGATAGCCTTTATCCACCTCCAACGATCTCTTTAATGCAATCATACAACCAAGCCACTATTTTCATTAGTATAGAAAACACCAAAAATATAGGCCTATCTATGAGGAATAGAAAGATTAATGATACAAACTTGATAATATCAAATTTTATGTGACATAAAAAACTGTGATATGCCCATATTTTTGTGTAATATGACACCATCATGCACATCACACAAATTTGTTACATAAAATTTGATAGTGGAAAGAATTCAAGAAGGTTTAAAACAAAAAAAAATTCTCAGATGTTGATATAACTTTATACAAAAATTTAGTTTGATCTGTTATAGTTATGATAAGTATAATGTTATAATGTAGCTTAAGATAAAAACTCACTTAAGAAGTTGAGCAGTATAGTAGAACCAGTTGTACCACGGATATACCAAGTATAGTGAACTTTGTTGTTCGGTGACACGCTGGCATCTCCCTCCAAAGGAAGAAACGTTTGGTCTATTAAGCCTCCGTGGTATGGTGGCACAGTCTCAGAACCAATATCTATAAAACAAAAATATTTTCAATGAATATTAATTGCGAGTAATAAACATAGAGTCCAAAAACATAATAATTAAATAGTTTTGAAATTGGCCCAAGCTCGACAGAGACCTAACATAAATTCTGTTTAGTTGACTGAAGTATCAAGGTCCCAATAGGATTTGAGCTCCAACTTGGATTTGGTTTCTGACCTTTTACCTAGACATCTAGATACTACATTTCTGACTATTATAAAGTTTATTTTCACTCCAGTTGGTGAAAATGATTTTCCTTTTACATTGATTATTTTTTATTATTTTTTATTTTTTTATTATTTTTTTGATTGATTATTATTTTTCAGAATCAGAGAAAAAACATTCTTATTTAGCTTCAATACATTAGTGTAGGTGTAAATAGAAAAAAAAAATTACAGTAATTGAAATATTGTTTACTTTGCTTTATATTGTACTGTATGATGCCTGAATTGATTTCAAGTCTAATATTCTATAGCAGGCCTATACTGTAGGAGAAGCATTACTTAGGTCATCTTTAAGTTTAAAGCAACATCATTTTCACATACAGCGAAGATTTAATGAATTGGCTGAAATGAAAGCGTATCGAAGTTAAGTTGCCTACGGTTGAATAATCAATTGATGATGGAAAAAAAAAAAACCAGGCTGACACTTAACATAGGTCTGACAGTGCTGAAATTCATATTAGCACTTTAATAAAAACAAGTTCATTTATAATTTAAACACCTTCACCTAATATAACAAGGTAAGGAAATATTCTCTCCCCTGGGAAACATAGGAGCCCATAAAGAAGTTGATTAATTTTAGCTGAAGACAGGAGATGAGCCAAGTTCACTACCAGAAGAATTTGATGATGGACAGTTTCATCACAGATGGGAATCCATGTAGATATAGTTAGTTTTGTTATGCCATCTGTCATTACCTGAATGGCTCGCTGTGACTTTTTGTCCATGGCTAATCATCAAGTTGACGTATTGACCTCGGCATAGGAAATGTCATTCCTTTGACCGCCCATGCGGGAATCAACCAATCATACGCCTCAAAGACCTGGCCGTATCTTCACCCAAAACTTTCTACTCACCATGACTTTCCTCACTTGTTTATTATTTAATATCACTATCACAATCAATTAAGTGAACTGACTTATAACAGAATATTTGAGGATATTTAAAAGATGATGAAAAATTATATTTCAGCAACTTATTAATTAGCGAACAATTCATTTATCAATTGGCAAGGAGAAAATGTTCTCTCGTTCTAATTTTTTAGATTTTTAGGTCAATACGGACAGTGACAGACAATTCTACAACATGATAATCAGGGAGAAAGATTGAAAAAACATAAATAGCAACTTAATAACTAGACAACCTGCTGCTTTCCATGCACACCTAAAAATGACAAAACAGCCTCATCCATCATGATGGGATAAGCAGGGAGCATCTAGCGCCACTGCTGGCAACATGCCAAATACGTACAAGATATTTTATATAATTCTGAATGATCACATCCCACTGGCAGTCTGTAATATTTTTCATAAATGTTAGATATTAATTTCGTTCGCAACAGTCACCAGTTTTAAGTCAGTGGAAATGTTAGTCGCAAATGATGCGAACGCTGTTCTTAATAATCTTTATATGTCAAAATTACCCGAGTAACGTACACCTCACCTCGTATGCGGTAGATTAAATTGGACAGGTCAGTCTATTTTTGCTTGTCGTACGTCAAGATTCAGCTGATTGATGACGAATTTCAATTACTATCACGATAACGACTGGTGATGCCATAAAAGTTGAATTGTACTTCCATTTTATTATAATAATTTTATTAATTTGTCACAGCCAAGAAGTAGAATTTTTCATTTTTATATAAGCAATTAAATTTCTTTAAAAAAATTTTGAAGTCGTTCTTCCAAAATCACAAAACAGTATATTACATATGCATAAAGCAATATATCAATAAAGACAGTACGCTAATGTGTAAATAAGGACCTGTTTTTACTGAAAAGAAAAAATTGATTAAAAATCACTTTTTCAAAAAATCGCTTTTTTCTTTGCAGTAGAAACGTTACAAGTCCGATTTTGGCTGTGCACCTTTTAAGGCCAACTCAGACAGCGTCGGCCGACGCAGCCCGACCCGATTTATCGTCGGGGACC